GTGTGGCCAACTTTGTTTTGACTATAGCAACATTTTTTCTGGAAAGGAGGAGCACAACTGAAACGTACATGGCCGCAGCACGAAAGGAAGTGACGCTAAGCAGAATGTTTCTTAGTTCATATAACAGTCGATATTTATAAATCAAAATATGATGAAGTGAAAAGAATTCAAATTTGACTTTGCAGTGCATTTTTAGCCAAATCGCTCGCAAAATATCAGTTCCAACATGTCTAGGCTATTTCCCGCGTCGAATTATTGATCATCTTCAAGATGCTTAGCAAATTTCATAACAACCAAATCCGATTTTGCTGAATAGATCATCTTCAAAACCTCATTAGATCCAAACCTAGTAATGAGTACCGCGAGCAAAGTGAAATGTGCCGCAGGGCTCTGCTTGTTGTAGGCACTAACGTAGACGTCGTAAGCATTAAGCAACAAACCATCGTGAGCGCGATCCTTGAATTTAAGCTGGTACATTATATCGGATGTGAGTAACTCAGAATCAAGACTGTTCTCAAGCATCGTTATATCCGGCAATTTTTTTATGTTCTCGCTGAATTGCTTACGCGAATTCAAAAGAGAGTTGACGATCACATTGTTTTGCCCGCCGTCACTTAGCTGCCCCAACACACATAAATTGCTTTGCATACTATTGAACAAACTATGGATCACCAGTTCCTTTAATCCTTCGACATTGTTTGGATTTCTCTCTTTCGCGATCATTCTAACTAGCTCGCTTATGCTAAAACGTTTTTCTAAGGTCAAAATTGGATTAAATGACAATCTTTCATGACTCAGAAAATATTTATCCACAAAGCAAAACCACTTGTTGATCGATGACAGGCTTTGAAAGTCAAAATCCATCAGCTCAAAAACTTGATCTGGATTTTTACCGGCTTTGATCCAATGCTCGATCTGCTCAATTTCAAGAAGTTCGGCAACTTTTGCAGTCTCTGGGTGCATTTTTGCTGCTAGAATCATGATCGATGTATCACGATCACCAAACCGAGCCGTAAGTGCAGGGAGCAATTTCATCTGCGCGAATGGTTTCGCTTTATTGTGAGCGCGAATGTAGCATTCATATGCAGCAAATATCTTGCCGCCGTAAAGAAACTTGTCTCGCACATAATCTGTGTCTACAGTTCCATCAATAGGATGTCCAACTGCACTTTCCAGTTTCGTCTTTGTCTTGCACCGCTTTTTGATATCCAGTAATTATCAGGGGGTTCCATGCTGTCGACAAACTGCCGATAATTCTCAACAAGAAAAACAAACTTAGCGTTCTATTCATTTCCCTTACTGAGCAGATTCGAGAGTCCGTCAGGACTGATCATCCTACTAAAAAGCTAAGAAAAATTCACGTCTTTCACACGTGAAGCACTGTGCGGGTGTTTGAGCACCTCTTCTACGACAATAAAGGTCAAAACACTGCTGTCGTAACGCTTCCTGAATAACTCGATCAGATCATACCAAAGCTCAGGTCTATAACTAACAAACTTGTTATCAATCTGTAACGGGGTTACATGAGAGTGACCCGTCACTCTCCCAAGGGAGCTGTGGTGTG